TAAAGTTTAATCCATCTCTCATGATTACGGTTCTTTGAATAAAATATTCCTAGCCAACTATAGGCTATACGTCCTACGGGGTGATAATTGAAATAGGGCTAAGTAATCCTGGATTTATTTATATTATTGCATAATAGTCTAATATTTCTTAATTAATCTTATTTATTGGTCATACCCAAGAGGGAAACTTATACAATTGATTGTTTTTAACGTTTATGAGGCCAATACTCTGTTCACATACACAGTAGCCTCAAGATAAGTTAGACCCGTTGAACAATATCTAGCAATGCTTTAACACATGCTTAAATTCTTCCTAATTTCTACAAGTTACGATAAAAATGACTAGTACTTGAACTAAAGGCTTTCAAATTGAATCCTATAAAGTAGTAGTACTATTATTTTCTACAGAACCATCCAAAAAAAGAAAAAAACAAAGCTGTACTATTTGGGATTTGACACTGACAGTGACAGAACACGAGCTGACTTGATCGATGTTTGTGAATTTTATGAAACAGACCAAAGGTTAGGTGGATCTACATTCCCTTGTTTTTCTTCTGCCTTGATTTTGTGCTTCTAGATATCTCTGTGATTGGTCATTTACAGAATTTGAAAAAAAGAAGGTAATAGTGACATCATCTCTTCATTTTTAATTTTTATTTTGAATGGATCTATAATTTAATATAATTATAATATAATTTCTTTTCATATAAAGTCTTAAATCCATTGCTCATTATTGTTAAAACTAATTTAAAAATTTCTCTTCCAAATCCATTTAAAAATTCGTACGAAACTGGCACGACCACTAAAAAGAGCTCAAATAGAATATGGACACATTCGAGAACTTGGTCTGGCGATCGCACGACTTGCCGCGAGGTTTTAGAGCAAAGCGTCAGTTCAACCAATACAGTTGGATTATGGCATGAATTAAAATATTTGTGAAATTCTGAATTGGGCGGCTTGATAGGGACATGAAGGGCCCTACCAAAGGGTGAAATTTCTCTTATTGAGCAATTCATTATTGAAGTTGCAAAGCATAGAAATGAGCCCACATCGATAACGACAAAACAAAAGTTTTCTCAATAGTCATGCCTTGCACCCATCACAGCCAGGTTTCAACTTTCTACAAACTTAAAGTGATTTGGTTTCAACATTATGAAAGATCCCTGTCTCTCTCTCTCTCTCTTTAGCCTCCCCACCTACTTTCTAATCTATTTTATTGGTTCAATCCAACTATGCAAGCAAGCCTAGAGAAAGTCGATGGTCAGGAATGGATCGTCCGGTGGTTTGACCACAGAGAAATAATTATAAATTAAGAGCACGACGGATGGTGACAAAACTTGCGCGATTCGACTAGTGTTGTGCGCTTGGCCAACAGTCTAACGTTGATAACTTTTTGTATCGACCAGGTAAAAGGAAAACCGCCAGTCAGCCTTGAAGATACCCGCATTCACCCACGACTAATCATTGAATTCGGTCGCTGTCGAACGATTCTCGAACCATTCTACTTGGAATTTTTTTTCTTCTTCTTTTGTCTTTTATTCAAATAAAGTGAGATTGGTGCAGCTCTTTATGATAGTACTCTTCGTATATTCAACTCTTAATGCTTATCTTTTCATTAGCATGAATCTCGCGCGCTCTACGAACAAACGATGAATTCCATCGCTTCACTTTTTCATATGACATGTGGTTTTAGAAAAGATCAACTATCATCGATTCAAACGATCTTCAAGCAAGAACCTAAAGATGAGCAAAAGTTCTTTTTGGAGAATTTTATAGACCGAAAGAGATTTGGGTTTTGACTTGGTTTCACCCACATCTTGCTTGGTTTTTGTAATACTATTTTCAATTAATCAACGACGGTGGAAGGATCAAGGATTGGATGCTTACTACTAGTTCGTTGATTAGAGACCCAGTGAGGATTGCAGGGGAGTAGTCTGCCACCCACAAAAATCAACAAGGCATTCAACAATTTTTATACAGAATAGAAACTGGAATTGGGTTTCGCCAGAATATTGATGTTAAGAAGTTGTTACGCAGATTTTGATAGCATAAACCCCTGACTCTGAGCCAAGGAAGAAAACAGGGGAAAACAGGGCACTGATCTTTGACTGTAAAGAGAATGATAAAAAGATTAAAAAAAAAATTCTCTTCTCTTGCAAAATTGATACTACAACAAGCAACCTTACAAATTAAACAGTTCTGTTTGATCCTGGAGTAGTTTTCTATTTACAGAAGTTAAAGTAGAATTCTTCTTCACTTCAATCTTGTAGTGTGCCCCAGTAACTGTATCGTCCTCCCTTCTTCACTTCAATTTTGTAGTGTGCCCCAGTAACTCTATCGTCCTCCCTGTAAAAGAGGACAACATCACCTATCTGGAGTTCTTTACTTCGAGCAAATTGGATCCAACCGGAAACAATAACAAGTTTTGGGGTCATCCCAGATCGTATTGTGCAAGCAAAGTTCCACAGGATTCCAGTCTCATCCTTAACCTGCAACTCTATTGCATGGCACCCTCGGAACGGTGGTAAAGCAGGTAGACAGCCATCTGGAAATGAGAATCTTCTCTTAACGTCGGTGTCTGTGAGAGCTTTTTTGAAAACTGCCATATCTAACTTTGATATCTTCGAGCTGCTAAGGCTGGTCAATCTTTATGAGTAGCAAGAAAAAGATGAGTAGTGGGCAACTATATATAAAGAGCTCAGCCTGCCGAACAGATGAAATCGCGTGAGAGTGGACACTTTGGATCATTCTACTTCTGTTTTTATCAAGCCATAAAGGTCTAGCGGAGGGTCCACATTAAAAGAAAAATTAATTAAAGATTGAGAAGAGTACATAAGTTTTCTTCCGTTCAGTCTATAAACTATTACACGTCCTCTCTATTTGGTCAGATACTGGCACTGTCTTTGTCCAATTGTGCTTCTAGCATTTCTTTTGTAAGAAAACAACAGTTTAGAAAACAACTTTGTCGCAACGCATGTGCTTTTGAAGCAATTATGCTCGCGTCATAGCAAATCTAGCGGTAACTCGACAGATTCACTTGCTGTCTCGCACGGGCCACCGCCTTTATTCTTTCTTTCTTCAATCTTGCACAGTGTCCAACTCCCTTGATTCTTGCTTCTTACCAGATATTTAGTACACCATAAGCTTTTTGTTGCCATTCTTTGGGGATGGATAATGGTTATTAGCATGAAACTCAAAGAAAATTTTCAATTATTTATAAAAAATTAAAATTTTTTATTTTAATTTTAAATTAAATAAATTTTTATAATTAATAATTAAATAATTATTATTAATTAAAATATTTATTATTATTATAAATCACGTGACACTGATATGACATGTTATACTTAATAATAACATAAAATGTTATTGCAATATGATGATAATTTTAATTTAAAATTTTTTACTTTTCACGTCAACATCACGTGATAAAATAATAAGTGATATTTTAATTAATAATTATTAATTAATAGTAAAAAATTATTTAATTTTAAATAAAAATACATAACTTTAATTAAACATAATAAAAAAATAAAAATAATTTATATTTCCCTATTTAAGTACAACTCCTCCATTTGCTCAATTCATTTAGTATAGAAGATGGAGTTCTGCTGAATGTGATTAGGTTCCCTATTCAATACATAAAAAATGTCTTGTTCACTTTCCATTTGGTATCAATATATTATTCATGAATGGCTTTAATTGTCGAGTCATCTCCTACTTTCTCATGTAGTTTTTAGTACTGCAATCCTTGATGGTATTGTAATTTCTTGTGCACTACCCAGGGTTTCCAACCTAGGTTAAGTATTTGTTCAGCACCTTTTCCACCTGTTTTCTTGTAGAACAATCTATCCAAGAAATCCTGATGGATGGGACGATTGGGTAGGACCTAGCAGAATGATCATTGAGCTATTTGAAGTCACTGTAAATTGGATGGTACGTAATATAATGTCCTCTTATTATAGGAAACTCTTCTTTCTTTATCAGTTAGTCTAATGTAAATGGTTGAATTTTTTCCTCTGCAATCTATGGTGTTCAATTCTTCTCTTTATTATTCAAGCTCTCTTTTCTTTGTGTGTTCATGTTAAATCTTTTCCTTCTCTATTTTAAATTTTAACTTAGCAGGGTCAAAGTATGGTTTGGACACATGAGAAGCACAACTTACATCTTGATTTCTTGGAAGCATCATTTGTTAAGCAGTTGCATTGTTCCATGAGTTTGCATGGCTGTCACTCAAAAGAGGAAATTTGGGGGCCATATCCAACCCAACAACTTCCAGCCAAAAGGACATAATTCTTCTGATCAGGTCAGAGACTCAATCTGCTTGTCATCTTCGCCTTATGACCCTATTTCAATTAGTTCCCTTGCTTCAATAAATGATCTCGATTATCTTTTCAGATTTCAATTTCTACAAGATGGCTGCTGCCAGAAGATAAACTATGAGAGCAATGACCCTTTGTTGGATAGCACTGCTGATTCTAACCAAGTCCTGGGAAGTCCATGGATAGAACATTTTAGATCTGCAGGCAAAAGCAGCTCAGCAACATTTCCTGTTCCAACAGAAACTGCGGTTCAAAATGATGGAAACTACTTGAAAAGTAATTCGAACGTTTCTTACAAATCAGCAAGAAGCTTCCAGCACCATCTGATATTTCATTCCTGCAATCAAAGTTTGGGTGGCT